CCCGGGCCCGGTGCTGGCCGGGGTGGGGTGCGCGGCGCCGGGCTGGGTCCGCGCAGCGCGCTGACGAGGGGCCCCGGTCTCTTGCAGGTGATCAACGCTCTGCAGTCCAAGCACCACTACGGCGAGGGGGAAGCCCGTGTCATCTGCGACAAGGTGCAGGCCAAGCTGCTCAAGGAGTGTCACGACCCCGCCAAGATGTGCATCACCGACCTGCGGATTTCGCACTGGGAGGAGGCGATCCAAGAAACCATCGGGGGGGAGGCGAACCGCAACCTCGCCGCCGAGTGCTACTACCTGTGGAAAACCACCCGGCTGCAGCACCTGACGCTGGCCGAGGACACGCGGGGCATGCTGACCGAGCTGCGGAAGGGTGTCAGCCTGCTGCTCCTCACCAACGGCGACAAGCAGACCCAGAGGGAGAAGATCGAAGCCTGCGCCTGCCAGCCCTACTTCGATGCCATCGTGGTGGGAGGGGAGCAGAAGGAAGAGAAACCGGCGCCCTCCATCTTTCATTACTGCTGCGATCTCCTGGGGGTGCAGCCCGCGGAGTGTGTTATGGTTGGTGACTCTCTAGATACAGATATCCAAGGTGGCCTCAATGCTGGCTTGAAAGCAACCGTCTGGTTGAACAAAGCAATGACAACCCCTCTAGATACCTCCCCAGTACCTCACTATATTATTTCTTCTGTTCTGGATCTTCCAGCAGTTTTGCAGAAGATGGAGCACAAAATGAATGCTAAGTTAGGAACTGACCATATGGCTGGTAGTAATGAAGCACATTGATGGTTCCAGCACACAATCAGTGGCATGCTGAGCTGTTAGGTGACTCGTGCTCTTTTAAAACATTTGACCCTAGGATTTTCAACTCGTGTATGGTACGCTTTCCGGAACAGCAGATGGATAAGAGCACAGTTGTCAGTGAAAACAGGATAGAAACAAAGAATTAGGTTCATTTAAAAGATGCAACTGCAGTTAATTTAAAACAGCTGCCTTTGTGTGGAAAGAATTTTGACAGACTGTGGCTAAAGTCTTGTCTGTCTCTGACCTAAGTTGCCAGTCTTCCGTTTTTATAGTGGAAAAGAAAATTTGAATGTTTTGATCTTTCACATGCTTTGCTGACTTGTGAGT